GAGTTGGGGATGGATAAGGAGAGAGAGATGGAGATGGAGATGGAGATGGAGATGGAGATGGAGATGGAGATGGAGATGGAGATGGAGATGGAGATGGAGATGGAGAGAGATAGGTAGGTAGGTAGGTGGGTAGGTAGGTAGACAGATAGAGATAGAGATAGAGATAGAGATAGGGAAATAGGGAGAGATGGAGAGATGGAGAGAGAGAGAGGTAGGTGGGTGGGTAGGTAGGTAGGTAGGTAGACAGATAGAGATAGGGAGATAGGGAGAGATAGATAGATAGATAGAGAGAGACAGACAGACAGACAGAGACAGAGAGAGATAATGTGTGAGAGAGAGAGAGCATGCAAGAGAGACCAGGGCTTCTCTACTGCTTTCCTTTCAAATGAAAGTCCCCATCATATAATTGGAGTGTGAGCTTTCTAAGTATAGATCAGTGCTAATGTGGTGGAGGTGAGAAGAACAAGAAAGGGAGGGAGAAAGAGGGGAACTAAGAAGGAAGAGTCAAATGTCATATTACAGTAAAATATATATATATATATTTTGAGTACTTTTAGCTTGTGAAAATTAGCTGTCAAAAGGAAACAGAAAATATTGTTTCCAGTCACTGGCCCTTTTCTGATCATATACTGTGTCATTCTCTTTCAGCATGATGGGAATAAAGATGCTTTTTTCTCTGAAGGAGAAGCCGATGCGAGTGAGGTTCTAATGGCTGGTGTGTGGGTTTCCTGTTCATAGACAAGCTAGAGGGAATCCAAGGGGTGTGTGAGTGTTTCCTCACACTTCCTTTCCTGATCTGCAGCCTCCCTTGCTTCCTATACTTTGATTCAGTTCCAAGGAAAATGATCAGCCAGGAACTCCTCCCAGAGTTATCGAGGGATTGCTGTCATGAAGTCATCTCTCCAAGGTGTACATCATTTCTGACTTCCCACGTTACCCTTCACTCCTAAGGAGAGAACTCTTCCCATGGGACTTCCCCCCCCCCCCAATTGGAAAGTGGGGGCAACCAAGACAGCTTCAGAGTGTAGAAAGATGGGTAACAGGACATTTTCTTTGCAGCCTCCCTGGCTTCCCACACTTCAGTCCAATTCCAAGAGAAGACATCAGCAAGAAGCTCTTCTGACTGAGCTTTTCAGATCAGGAAGTGGGAATAGAAGGATGAAGATGGGAGATGTGTAACAAAGGTCCTTTCCCCACCAAAAATGGTAAGAAAATAAAAACCAAGGAAAGAAAGAAAGAAAGAAAGAAAGAAAGAAAGAAAGAAAGAAAGAA